CGGCGCACCATCCCAGGGCGTCCTGGACGCCCTAGTCTGCTTCCCCCCCAAAAGGCCTTCCAGCACCAGATATTACCTGGGGCCAGGGGCAAAACGTCCACACTCTGGGGGTGAGAGTTCCAGGACAGGACTTCTTCCCCCCGCCCTCCCAGGCCTTCAGTTGCCTCCCGAGAGACAGCTGAAGGCTCATGGGGGCGAGGAGCGAAGAAGAGGAACAGGAGCTGTGCCCGTGACGTTCCCCCGTGACGTTCCCAGACTTCAACTGCCTCCAGAAAGGCAGCTGAAGGCCTGGAATAGCTGGGAGAGAGGAGGAACAGGCACGCACCTCCTCCTCCTCCTGCCCCTCCGCATGTCTGGGAAAATGGCTTCGCGTGCCATCTCTGGCACACGTGCCATCGGTTCACCATCAGAGTCCTACTTCTTCTGTTCCCTTACCTTCAGTACCTTGCAGCTTCCCTCATTCTTTCTGCTTTAGAAAGATTTTTCCCCATTTAGTAAGAATCAGAATAATGCAGGAATTCAAGTTTAGGCCCATTCTTTGTTAATCTGCCTGTTCTAAATTAAATTCTGTCTCTGCTCACAGCTGCATGCATAGACTCATCTCCTTTCTCCAATTACAAGTCTTGTTGTTGTTGTTGTGTACCTTCAAGTCGTTTCCGACTTATGGCGACGGTTATCATGGGTTTTTCTTGGCAAGGTTTGGTCAGAGGAGGTTTGCCATGGCCTTCCCCTGAGGCTGAGAATATGTGACTTGCCCAAAGTCACCTGGTGAGTTTCATGACCAAGCTGGGAATAGAACCCTGTTCTCCAGAGTTGCTGTTCAACACTTAAACCACTACGCCACACTGACTGCTCTTTTACTATATTCTGTTTTGTTGGAAAGGGCAGCTCCTTTCTTAATGCTTGTCCAGATATCTATCTATCTTTTCTTGTGCTGTGCATTGTATCACAAGTAGTTGGAAGCTTTTTTAGAGGGAGTATGCCCAGAGGTACATTGAGAAATCACTATATTTATGTGAGTGGCTTGCACAAAGGCATCCTGCTGTACCAGTTCAAAATGTTAGTCTTGTACTAACATGCAGCTGGGCTTCGTGATGGCCTCCCTTCTTAGCGTTGCCAGTGGTGCCAAAAACTCTTCAAACAGACTGATAGAATATCTTATTAATGCTAAGAGGCTTTGCTGTAAGACTGGTTTTTAAAACATTGCTATGCTAATTACCTACATGTGAAATATTTGAGGGATCTTTGGCTTATGTATAGCATTTCACCGTTAGCAAAATTAGAGTAACATGTACAATACAGTTAGTCTGAAATGTGTGTGTTGTGTGCTAGTGTTATATGCCTTCAAGTTGTTTCTGACTTATGGCAACCTGAAAGCAAACCTATCATGGGGTTTTCTTGGCAAATTTGTTCAGAGGAGGTTTGCCATTGCCTTCCTCTGTGGCTGAGAGTATGTGACTTACCCAGGGTCACCCAATGGGTTTCATGGCTGAGCCAGGAATTGAACCATAATCTCCAGAGTATAAGTCACTCAGTCAAACCACTTCACTGTTCCAGCATGGTGTAGAATCAGAGTTGGAGGAGACCACAAGAGCCATCCAATCCAACCCCCTGCCATGCAGGAACTCAAAATCAAAGCATACCCGATAGATGGCCATCCAGCCTCTGTTTAAAGACCTCCAAAGAATGAGACTCGACCACACTCCAAGGGAGTGTGTTCCACTGTTGAACAGCTCTCACTGTCAAGGAAGTTCCTCCTAATGTTGAGGTGGAATCTTTTTTCCTGTAGCTTGCATCTGTTCCAGGTCCTATTCTCTGGAGCAGCAGAAAACAAGCTAGCACCCTCCTCAATATGACATCCCTTCAAATATTTAAACAGGGCTATCATATCACCTCTTAACTGTCTCTTCTCCAGACTAAACATCCCCAGCTCCCTAACTCTCACCTCATAGGGCATGGTTCCCAGACCTTTCACTATTTTGGTTGCTCTTCTCTGGACACGCTCCAGTTTTTCAACATCCTTTTTGAATTGTGATGCCCAGAACTGGACACAGTAGCCTAAAATCGCATTGGCTGCCGCATCACACTGTTGACTCATGTTCAAACTGTGGTCTATTAAGACTCCTAGATCCCTTTCACACTTGGGGCCGAAGCAGACCAGCCATTTGAGCGCCCCGGGAAGCAGCAGATTGGAGTCACAGCAACCCCACACTGCGGCCCAAATCCTCCCTTTTGCCACCCTGAAAAGAGCGGCAAAATGCTGATCCTTTGAGGAGCGGCAAAAGGCCTCTCTTAAGAGCCAGCGCTGCAGCTCTTCCACGCCCTTTTGGCGCACTGTGTTTAAATGCTTCGCCAGGAGGGCGTCCTGATGCCGCACACTTTGTATACAGCTGTGTGGCGTTGGGGTGGCCGGCGTGCGGCCGCCCCATCTCTCCAGGCCAGCCCTTTCAGCCGGTTTGCAATGGCCCATAGTCACATTAAACCAAGTGTCCCCCATCTTATATCTATGCATTTCAATTTTTTGCCCTAAGTGCAGTACCTTACATTTCTCCATGTTGAAATCCATTTTGTTAGCTTTGGCCCAGCTTTTTAATCTATTAAGGTCATTTTGAATTTTCATCCTGTCTTCTGGGGTATTAGCTGTTCCTCCTAATTTGGTGTCATCTGCAAATTTGGTAAGCATGCCCCCTATTCCTTCATCCAAGTGGTTGTGTAGTGTAGTGGTATGAGTATTGGACTACGACTCTAGAGTCCATGGTTTGATTCCCTGCTCAGCCATGGTGAGCCACTGGGTGACTGTGGGCAAGTCACACACTCTCAGCCCAAGAAAACCCCATGATAGGGTTGCTTTAGAGAGTACCATAAGTCAGAAATGACTCGAAGGCAGACAAAAGCAACAGTTCCTTTACAGCCAGACTGTAGATGAAATCTACAACTGATACTAAGCTCTACCCAAATATCTGAAAGTAGGAAGGCGTTCATAAATGATCTCTGATGTTGTAGTGACAGGAATTGCTTCAAAATGTGCATTTGTAACTGCTGTAATCCTTTGTTTTCAGATTTTCTCGTCTTGGCAGTCATCACTAAAGTAATAGCAATAGCAACAATAGTACGTACATTTCTATACCGCTTAACAGTGAACTAAGCACTATCTAAGCCTGCGACAGGCAACCTTTTTCGGACCTGGGCCGGTCTTCCGTCGGCCAGGTCCCGGCTGGGCTGGGGGGGAGTGGTGGTGCGCGCGGTCATGCGCACACCGCACCCTCCGCCGCCGCGGCGCATTTCGCGGCTCCAGCCGCCACAGCGCATTTCGCGGCCGCCATTTGGTAAGTCAAAATGGCAGTTGTGACGCGTTTGCGCATGCGCAAACGCATCATGCCCACCATTTTGACTTACCAAATGGTGATCACTGCGAGCGCGGCTGAAAACGTGCTCCGGCGGCGGCGCATGGTGGCGGCAACGGCGGCAACCTCCGGCCTGGGCCAGTAAGTACGGGGCCTGGAGCTTTAACCGGCCCCCGGGCCGTAGGTTGCCGGTCCCTGATCTAAGCGGTTTACAATGTGTGAGCCAATTGCCCCCAACAAGCAATTGGCTTACACATTGTAAGTAATTACTCATTTTACTGACCTATGAAGATGGAAGGCCAAGATAACCTGGAGCCCTCTGAGATTGAACTGACAATGTGGCTGCAGTACCAGCATTTAACCACTGCGCCATCAGGGCTCTTGTTTAACTTAACACTGGGATCAACTTCTATGTTGCCTTCGCAGAAGTGTATTTGTCATTCTGCATATTAAACACAGTTGCCTGATTATCTTCAGTGTGGGAATTTGTGCAGTTTAACCATATACACTGTTTATTTCCAACTTCATCTGTTATAATTTAAATATCAAAAGTAAGTACCATCTAAAGCAGAACAGAATAGAAAAGAAAATTTATAGTATTGCAAACCATTAACCCTTCTAAAATACCTTTTGTAGGAGTTTATATACTTGGAAAATATGGGCAGAAAAAAATGAAAGAAATCCAAGAAAGGGAAGCGGCAGAATATATAGCTCAAGCACGAAGGCAGTATCATTTTGAAAGTAACCAAAGAACTTGCAACATGACTGGTAAGGCATAGCGATGTTTGGTTCAGTTTGGTCCTCACCATGGTTTTTACACACTGTACCTCAGACAAACCCAAGTTTTTTTGCTCCTAGTCTGCTTTTTAGTGCCTACTTTATCTGGATATATTATAATGTTTGTTCCAGTTTCTAGTATGGTGCAACAGCCTCAAAATAGAGGAGTTTGCCCATTCAGACATCACATAACCAACCAATTCTAGACACACATTAGAGCTATGATTTCTTGTACCAATTTGCTAGCTGATCATAATTCTGATTTGTCGGCTTGTCACGCCATAGTTAAAATTACTTTGGTTTTGTATGCTTCCTGCATTTTGCTGATATTCCCAATTAAGATAATATGAGAGATGGGAATAATAGCTGGAGTTCAATGAACTGCAGCAAGTTTGTTATTCCAAAGAGCTTTGTGAGTTTTTGTATAACAGTTGCTAACAGTGCATGACAAATCTGCAATTTTGAAAGTTGTGGATCATTAATCCAAAACAAGGACAATTTTTCTGTTTGCTTTTTTTCATGTGCCTTTTATGATATACAGTTGCTCCTCCATTTTCGCAGGGGGATCTGTTCCAGGGGCCCCCCCACCCCTAGGAAAACGAGAAATCACCAATATTAAAGCCCTATTGGCTTGAATAGTGGTGCATGCCTGCGGGCACCCACAGGCACATGCCACAGATGTGTGCCCCATTTTAATTCCCTCTGTTTGTCCCCTGCAAACAGGGACAAGGGATGCGGACTCGAAGTCTATGAAAACGGAGGGTCAACTGTATTCCTTTTCTGTACTTCCGTGTACCCTTGTATTTTTAAAAGCAATCATGCCTGTAAGAAAGCTTCCTTTACTCTAATGAGCTAAAACATCTTTGTATTTACAAGAACATCACTTGTTCTTGTTTTTGCAGTCATCTTTTTTTAATTTTAGTGACCAAAACCGGAAACAGTAATTTGAGAAGCTTCACTGTAAATGATTCTATTTGTGTTCTTTTTGAAGGGCTGTTTTTTATATATATAAAAAAATCAGGTAGTCCTTTCTGATTTTCCAAAGTCTATATTGAAAAGGCTTTTTGTCAGGATTCTGTTACAATGTTAACTTTGTGCTTTTTTAGACTCTTACAATTTGTCACTATTATGTATGAACTAAACCTAGATTATTTTTAATTTGATGATGAGTCTCAAACTATGCTGTTTTTTCATTATCATTTTCCCCCATCGATAGTACTATCTATGCTTCCAACATTAAGGGATACTTTAATGTATCAGCTGAACTCTGAGACCCTCACCTCTCTGCTGAAAAACAAGTAAGTATAACTTGCCTTTTTTTCAAAATTTGGACTGTTAAGTGGTTTATATGTGTGTAATGATAGTATGGGAGAACTGTTATCTGCAGTTGTATTTTATGGACTGCTAAGCATTTGTATCCTAACAAAGCAAGATAAGGCTTAAACTAACATACCATATATAGCCTCACAAATATTTGAGGAGAGGGAGAGAAAAATCTCCATTTTAAAAGTCTAATATCTGTCTTGGCATGCAATTAGATATTGTATTAAACTCACTGAGAAATATAAGTTTAACCTTCCACTATAGTATAAAACAAATCCTGCTGTGTTTCAGATAACTTCTAAAATATGTATTCCCAAGGCCACAAAGAAGCAGATTTTATAAATTTCCTCAGAGTCATTTGCTAGTAATCTCTTCATTAATATTACTTCCCATAATCCCAATATTGAATAAGCACTTCTTTTCACTCATAGATTCAGAAATTGCAACATTTGACTTTTTCAATTTGATGCAAACTTTTCACTGACTCCATTAATTGTAAATGTTTGCATTCTTTTCATTTTACAGACCAACCAACAAGTTAGAAATATGGGAAGACTTGAAAATTATAAGTAAGTAATAATGAATTATGCTTCTGACCCAGTGAGTGTTCTTAGTTTCTGCATTGTGGTGCAAATTTTCTTCAAAATGCAGATCTTTGCACATGGACTGAGTTCTAATGCACGTGACATATCGTTTCAAGGAAAGCATTTGTTACTTTAAAAAAAATTCAGAAAAAAAATGAAAAATGCAATGCTCCAAAATCTATTGTTGCTATCAGAACATAAAATGCATTACATCTAACTTGGTTTGGCATAAAATTATCATGTTTGATATATTAAACATAAGGTTTATTCAGTGTGACTGGAATCCTGTTAGAGAATTATGAATGTGTAACCTGACATTACACATTTGTAACTGTGTAGTGTTTACAATCCCTACATAGCCCCTAGTTTAGGGGATACATAGTGTGAAAAAACCACTTCACAAGAAGCCATTTTTGCAATTGACAGGAATCCATTCCCCTCTTGCTTGGGAAGCAGATGACTGACATTCCCACACACACCTGTTTCCCGAGCTGCAGGGAGACAAGCCTCCATCAGTTACAGCAACTGCTTCCTTGTGGGTGGGAATGGGGAGCTGGGCCTGCATTCACTGCATAGCTCTGTAGCGATGGCAGTTACACATTTGGAACTGTGGAGTAGGAGTCTGGCCAACATCATTTCAAATTGAACTTTAAAAATGTTTTAATTTTCTGTTACAAATAAATCTAATGGTTCTGGACTGTTAAGAATACCTGAACTATAAGAGACCTCTTGGCTTTGCCTTTTTGAGGAGTGGGCAAAATCGCCCAACAAAAACAGTACATCAACAGTAGTAGAACAGAGAAAATTATTATTATTGCTCCACTAGTTCTCTATAGTGTCAAGTAGACTAATGCACTCATTCTTGTAAAAAGAACTGAGAAAAGAAAGCCAAGACTAGGAACTGTAATGATCAGATAATGCAGTGCTATCAAACCAGTGGTCCCTGAACTGCTGCCAATCCCTGCTGAGTTTCCAGGAAAGAATGGGAATAGATGTGCTGCTCCTTGACACAATGGGAAAAATTATTGTCAATCTCTCACATCAGATACCCTGAGAAGTACTCTGATAATGTACACATTCACACATAAAGATCTTAGAATCATAGAAGAAACATAGGCTCATGGAACTGGAAGAGACTACAAGGGCCATCATATCCAGTCCACTGCCATGCAGGAATAGACAATCAAAGTACTCCAGAAGATGGCCATCCAGCCTGTGTTTAAAACCCTCCTTTAAACCTGTTCTTATTTCTAAAAACGTTTTTAGAAATTATGTGGGGAAAGTATATATGTGAACACCTTGTCTTAAACATTTCACTCATCATTCTAAAGTCAAATATTCCTTAATCCAGTTTTTTTCTGGGAAAAAAAGGCTTAAAGGGAAAGGATGTGGAAAGTCGTCGTCCCCCCCCCCCCCCGCAATTTTTTTTTCTGTTTCTATTTTAGGGTCTTCACATCTCTAGGAGCATTTGCAAAATATTTGTCACATGTGAGGATGGGATTCTGTGTACTGATGCTTTATTTAAAAAAATAAAACTGGAGTAAAAGTCTTTGCTAAAGATTGTCGTTTGCTATATTTGAAATTGAATAACATTTGATACTTATTTCCAAAAGCCTTCAGTCCCTTTTCAGAGTCAGTATACATAATCATTTCATGTAGTGAGCAGGGTCCAAAGCATACCTGTGGCAAGGCCTTTTTTAAGACTTAGGCTGATTCCACTTTCCAACCCCGAAGGTAACTAACACTTGCC